CTGGTCCGAGAAGTGGCTGAATGCAAAGTGCAGTCGCTAGACTAGCAACGAGGAGAAATCAAGGCACACGCCTCTTCCCTTCTGCCCTTCTAGCACGCCTCCCTCTCTCCCCCAGGCTGGTGTCCTCTGTCCAGGCCATCATGGCCTCCACTGCCGGCTACATCGTCTCCACCTCCTGCAAGCACATCATCGATGACCAGTAAGTGCCGCGAGAACCCCTCTGCCCAGGTGCCAGTGGTTGGTGTGTACACATAACCCTGGAAGACCCCATATCTTGGAGGGAACTCTGTCCGTGGTCCCCAAGCCCTTAACTTGGACCTGAGCAAGTTCACTGCAATAACTGCAACTCAACACCCAGGGATAAATTTATCCCGTCCTGTCCTTAAAGGTCAGAACCAGGGGGAGAAGGAGCGGGGATCACAGAGGATCCTCAAAGCGCTTCCTAGTTGGCTTCCAGGTCTCCTGTGTTGTCGTGGGTTCCCCACCTCTTCCCTGCCTTCCACCCCAGGAGGCAGATCCCATTTCCCTCCAGCACCCAGATGGGGTGCCCCCTCCTCATGCCGGGCTCACCCCTCAGGCCCTCCCAGAATCCAGGCATCTGGCACCCACTCCATGTGTGAGGGAGAGGAGAGGGGAAAGATGACACGCACAAGGCCACACACGGCCAGGCAGTGCAGGAGGGGATGAGGGCGAAGAGGCCAAAATGTGGCCAGGCAGCTGCTGCAGTGTCTGGTGCTTGCCAAAAAGGCCCAGAGGTGTGCGGGCAGGAGGCGGAGGACGGAGAGGAGAGGGGCCCTGTCCGTGGTGCTGACGACCGCCCTAGGTGACTCATGGGTGGCCCATTGCAAGTTGCCTTGGAGGTGCCCACAACACCCGCTTCGTAGCTTTCAGCGCCACTTCCCTTCTGTGGCAGCCCCTGAGTCCCAGGGGACATTCTCTGGACGCTTCTGACGGGGGGTGCCCTGTTTCTGTTTGCCTCCTCTTTTTCCGAAGATGAGTTGCCTCTTCTGTGGTGAGGCAGCCGCCCTTCCTGGAAGGGCTTCATCGAGAGGAATTGAGTTAAGTGGCAGCTGCAGAGGACAGTTCTTGGCTTAACTCTTTCTTCACACCCTGCCCAGGGACTTGGCTGCTTCTTGGCCTCTGCCCGCCCCTCCCCACCCCTTCTCCAAGCCGAGCCTGGGATCCAGCACTTCCTCACCAGCCTTCACATGCAGAGGTCACCTTTTGGCTTCTGCACCCCCCCTGCTCCCCAGGCCCCCTGTGTCTGTTCCTGTCCTTCCTCCCTGCTTTAATCCTCAGGTAGGTGGGGAGGATCCGGGTTAATCCAGGGCAGCAGCTGTTCCTACTTCTGAGCACCTAATTGCCAAGAGGGTGGGGATGGGATTTAACACCTCACATGACAGCCCAGGGCCTGGTGGCCCCTCCTGGTCTCCTGCACCAGCCCAGCGGGCCCCATCTCCCATCACCTCTGCTGGGCCTGCATTGTGGGCAACTTCCTTCCCTGACTCCTCCAGGCCACTTGGACCTTTTCTCCCTGTGTTCTTGCCTCGCATTCTCTGCAGCTGCTCCTCCCCTCTCATCTTTCCCTGCCTCTGGGCCGCAGCTCCACACCACTGCATCACAGTCTCAGGTTCCCTTTTCCCTGGTACCGTCCGTGCTGGAGAATGGGCTGGCTCCACTCACAGGCTGCCTGCCTTAGGCTCCCCATCCTCAGAGGCCTCAGCCCCAACTTCTCCACAGCTCCCTCCACATGCCTCATGTTTGGTGATAACTTCTGGCTGACTCTGCTTTCATCCCTCCTCCCCTATGTGGGGCGAGCTCCCCGGGGCCTACCTCTCTGACCTTCCGCCCCCACCCCAGACCAGTCTCGGGACTACAGGATTTAAGAGAAACTGGCGATGTGCTGACTCCAGAAGAAAAATGCTGTCTTGTCTATTCATCCATTTCTCATTTTTGTTTACTCTCCAAGTACATGGAACTTTCTCTGTCCTTGGCTCCTTTTGTTCTGCATTTTCCCCTTAATGCCTGGCTGTCCCTGAGAAACAACACAAAACAGAAAAGAGATGGGGTCACTTTGGGGCAGGGCAAACAGCGCTGACAAGACCCCTCACTTGCCAACAGGGCCTGTCTCTGATGCCTCTTGGACCTTCTGGGGACAGTGGGGATGGCAGTGAGGGCTGTGGAGCCACTGCCCACGTCCCTTCCTTGGCCAGGTTACCTAGCCCGTCTGTGACTCACTTCCTCACCTGTACGGTGGGGGTTATGGCCACACCTACCTTTTACAGGGTTTTGGGAGGGGTAAATAAGTGCATGCACGGGAAGTTTGGAAGAGCGCCTGCCTCAGGAGGCAGGAATGGGGGTCCACCCCTGTGACCTCTCTCTCCAGCACTCTCACCCATTCAGCTGTTGCTGGTCCTAACCTCATGGTAAGGTTAGGACAAATAACCACGGCAAGGAAGGTCCCACCTGCCTGGCCTGGGCTTATTTTGGCACTCTATCTGTGCCATTTGGTCTGTGGGCATCTTCTGTTCTTTTCTTTTCCCCCCACTTTACTGCAGAGAGAGAGGAACATGGGTGGGTTCTGAGGCCACAGATTTGAATGCCAGCACCGTCGCTTACTAGCTGCGTGACTGCGTGAGCTTGGGCAAGTTTCTCACCCTCTACCCTCTGGATCCCTCATCTGTACCTGAGACTC